GTGGCAATGACAGCGACAGAGAGGACCCAGAGCAGGGCACACATCACCCCTGACAGGTGCTGGGGGCGGTGGCAGCGGTACCAGAGCGGGCAGAGGATGGACCCACACCTCTCAATGCTGATGGCCGTCAGCAGGTACAGCCCCATGTTGTAGGAGAACAGTGACAGCAGGAGGAACGACCTCAGGTACCTCAGGGACACGACAGCAGAGCAAGAAGCATTGTTCACCACGTAGAGGAGGGATGAGGTGATGGCAAAGAGGAGGAAGGTGAAATCAGCTACGGCCAGGTTGAGGATGTAGACGGTGATGGGGTTCCTGCGGATGTGGAAGCCGAGGAGCCAGAGGACAGCCCCATTCCCCACCAGCCCACAGAGGCCAATGAGCAGGGTGACACCATCTATGGCCACGTCGGTGATGTCTATCCAGCACTGTTTGTCTTCTTCGGTGTCCGTCACGGCAGATGTGGGAGGTGGGGATGTCTGATTCAGCTCCATGGTGGAAGGTGGGATGTGGTCCCCGGCTGTGGTCAGAGCGGGCAGGGAGTTAGTGGGACCCAGGGGATGTGACAGGGACAGGGGTCCTGGTGATGTGGCAAAGCAGGACTGGGGATGGGGCGATAGAAGGGCTGGGGGTGAGGGTGGAGGGAGGGTTGGAGGGGCTTCCATCTCCCCCAGTTAAGGACACCCATGGGAGCAGTGAGGGGGCTGTGGGGAGATCTAAGGAGACACCCCCAGGGCTGGACTCTGATCCCGACCCCTTCCCTTTCCCTGCAGCAGCCCAGAGCTGACCTGCCTGTGCGTCTGAGCTCTCCTTGCCACAGTCTTCTCCGATGAGGAGGTGTGGGGTCTCCACGTCCTCAGAAGCTCTGAGCAGCCTGTCTCTCCCCAAATAAAGCTGCTTTTTGGGGCGTTTCTGCACAATCACAGGTCAGGCTGTGAGAGCACTGGGCAGTTGCACACAGGCTATATCTTCTCCCATCAAATTTCTGTTGGTCTTGCGGGAAAGGAAATGTTTTGTCCGAGTGAATACCCCAGAGGATGAACACTGCAGCAGTTAGATGTGAAAGAATCTTGATGCTTTTAGGATTCAACCTGATAGCTCATTAGACTGGTAATTACCACCTACCTAATTGTTTTATGGTGCTCCAGTCTCCTCTCCCCATCCTGCCCCAATGCTGGCATCCTTCTGAGATTGTTCATTACTGCGTGCATTTGCCTTCCAGCCTCCCGGCATGAGAATCCCTGATGTGTCTCCTCCAACTTCATCCTGCATCAGGCCTGGGTGAGAGAATTTCGAATTTGGTGCTCCAGCCATCAGTTTGGACTCACCCCAACTGGTCTGGGGGCTCCAGAGCTCTCCTGACCTGACTGGTACCCACTGAGCCCAGAGGGCCTGGTGGCAGAGGAGCTACAGGGCTGCAGGAATGTCAGGGAACCGCACACATGATTCCCCCATCCCTCTCTGCACCCCTAGACCAGAAGCACCCATTTACTCCCGCAGGGTTTTGGGGTGGCAGAAGAGGGCACTGACTGGAGGGGAGATGGTCTTGGGGAGTTCCAAGCAGGGGTGTGGGGGGACATGATCTCTCCTTCCTCCTCAAAGCAGCACTGGCTGCCCCATGTCCCCTTCAGCCACTGAACCCCTTATGCTGGTGGGGGGACATGCCAGAGGCTGGACAAAGCACCTCGAGTGCCAGGTGCCCTCTGCTCTGCCAGCAAGGGCAGAAAGCTGCTTTTTTTGACTCATTAAACCAGCTAATTGCTGCCAGGACTGCTGATACCCCTGAGGGGCTCACCTGGGGCACCCACCACAGGGCTGGGGAGCTTGCAGGAACAGACACCACATGGGGCTCCCCAGAGACCACCCTATGTCCCCTAACCCTCATGTCCAGGCACACTCTGAGCCCTGCAAGCAGTACCAAGGAGTCCCCAACCCAGGGGAGTGGGCAAGGTCTGCTGTGGGTAATACAGAGTGATCATTGGGGCCACCCCCAGCACCATCTGTGCTGGTTTGGGATATCCCCAAGCAAAGTGGGATGTCATGGCCTGTCCCCACCGGTGTGTTGGGGTCACCAGGAAAAGACTGGGAGCTGGAAGCTGCCCCTCTCTGGTGCTGAGCCAGGCACCAGAGACTGCTGGCAGGGTATGGCTAGGCATGGCAAGGCACTGGTGTGACGTCAGGGGTGGCACTGATGGCAGGGACGTAGCAGTGAGTCACCCCCCCTCGTGCCTCCCTCCACCCCTGGACTTTGTCTCCTGTGGATGCTCGGGGCAATAAAACCCAGGCTCGGGGTGGGAATGGGGTGTTGGGGAGGGCACACAGGTGTGTTTGCACACACAGGCACAGGAATGCAGGGTGTGCAAGCACAAGTGTGCAAGAGAACCTGCACAGAACGAGCGAGGAGGAGCTGGGCCAGCACAGGGGCTGTGCAAGTGGGATGGGGTCACCCATGGGATGGGGTCACACGTGTCCCTGCGTGTGCAAGAGGCAGCCACGTGTGTGCACAGGCAGGTGCGTGAGAGGGAGTTGCACACGCAGGAGGGACATGGAGGTGGGAAGTGTGTGCCCCTCCTGCCGGGTGAAGGTCATGCGAGGTGCGCGGGGACACCCACACTCGTGTCCCTGCCGCTGTCACCTCCACGGCCCCAGCCCTGAGCGGCGCCGCGGGCGGGCCCGACGGGCGGGTGACGGCCGCACCCTGGACCGGGCGGGTGCTTCCCACCGCCCCGTCCCCATCCCTGTCTCCGCTGAGGCCAGGCAGGCTCCACGGCCCCACTGGACACCCCCATGCAGCGGGAGCGCGGGGGGCAGAGCCCAGGACCCCCCGAAACCGAGGTCAAGGCTGTCGTCGTGGGGGACGGGGGCTGCGGGAAGACGTCGCTGCTGGTGGCCTTCGCCAGGGGGGACTTCCCCAAGGTACTGGACTCCTTGTGCCCTGTCCCAGCCCCAGCGGGACACACTGGTGTGGGGAGGGGGACTGTCCCCGTGTGAGAGGAGCGGCGACAGGGGCAGAGGGCGGTGGACGCGGGATGAGAGAGACGCGGTGGCAGCAGCGGGGACGTTTGCAGTGGGACATGGGGACGGCGGGGGACTGGGGAAGGGGTGGCACAGCCTGGGGCTGATGGGGGTCTGCGGCAGCCCCCCCTTGGTGGGTGAGTGGGCACCTCTGCCTCACCTGGGGGGTCACGGGATAGGGAGCAGAGTTTGTCCCTCAGTGAGGGCACCGACGGGACCTGGGGAATGTGTGGAGGGGGGAGCAACTACCAAGACCCCAGAACGTCTGTCTGGATCCCCGAGTCCCACCGGGACATGCATGAGGTTTAGTAGTGCCTTGGGGTGGGGGACAAGGACAGAACACCCCCCCGCCGGCGCCCTGCGCCGGCGAGGCATCACCATCTCCTACCCCCTGTTTCCCTCTCCTGGGTACCTCCTCGTGCCCTGCCCTGTCCCCATGGGATGCCCCCCACCGCTGCCTGTAGGACCTGTCTCACACCCTCCCTGTCTTCTGCCAGGTCTACGTCCCCACCGTGTTCGAGAAGTACACGGCGTCGCTTCAGGTTGCTGGAAAGCCCGTGACGATCCACCTCTGGGACACAGCAGGTGGGACAGGACGGGACAGGGTGGGCAGTTGTGCCCCTCACTCTCCCATCCAGGAGTTTTGTTGTGTCCCACACCCCTGGGTCGTGCCTTGGATGGGGTGTCCCCATGCAGTGACCATGGGAGAGGAGGGGTTAACAGAAGATGTCACTCCCATGATCCCAGCCTCGAGGGAGGGGGGAGGGACCACGGCAGAGGAGGGGGGACCCAGTCCAGTAAGGAACTGGTGTTTAATGGTCCGCTCCTCGCTCCTCGGTCCGGCAGGACAGGAAGACTATGACAGGCTTCGCCCGCTGTCCTACTCAGATGCCAGCGTTGTCCTCATGTGCTTTGATGTCACCGACCCCAACAGCTTCGACAACATCCTAACAAAGGTGACACATCATGGGGGCCGCTGGGGCTGCTGCCTGTCCCTATCTGTGTGACATGTCCCCTCTGTGGCTGTCCCCTGTGCCTGTCCCTGGGTGAGATGCCCCCCTCTGTGGTCATCCTGTGTCCCCATCCCTGCATGAGATGTCCCGCTTTGTGCCTATCCCCTGTCCCCATCCCTGGATCACCTGCTCCCCTCCACACTAGTCCTGTGTCCTCATCCCTGAGCGACATATCCCCCTCTGGCCCTGTCCCCTGTCCCTATCCCTGGCTGACATACTCCCCTCTGTGCCCACCCCTGTGCCTATCCCTGGGTGACATGTCCCACTCTATGCCCATCCTGTTTCCCCATCCCTGGGTGACATGTTCCTCTCTGTGCCCATCCCCTGTCCCCATGTCTGGGTGATGTGTCCCACTCTGCCCCTGTCCCCTGTCCATATATCTGAGTGACATGTCCTGCTCTGCCTCCATCCCCTGTCTCCATCCCTGGGTGACATGTCCCCTCTGCAGTGGTACCCAGAGGTGAATCACTTCTGCAAGGGGGTCCCGGTGCTGCTCGTGGGCTGCAAGACGGACCTGCGGCAGGACGAGGGGACGCTGCGGAAGCTGCGGGATGGGCGGATGGAGCCTGTTTCCCGCCAGCAGGTGACTACCACCCTCCGACGGGGTGGGGGGGCAGTGGGGCACCCGGGGTCCTCTGGGGGATCTGACTCTGTGTCTCCCCACAGGGAGAGGCCATGGCCCGGCAGGTCCGTGCCGTGTCCTACATGGAGTGCTCGGCCAGGTACCAGGAGAACGTCGGGAACATCTTTGTGGCAGCCAGCAGTGCTGCCATGAGTGCCACCCGCCAGAGACAGCGCGGGAGGAGAGCCTGGAGGGGCTGCGTGCTCCTCTGAGCCCTCTGGCACCCCACGACCCCTGGGATCTGCTGCTGTCCCCAGCTCCAACCACACCGCGGCTCCTGGCTGCTGCCACACCTCTGCTGACTCCTCCGGAATTCCGCTGCCACTGTGGCCACCCTCCTGTCCCGGGGCTGGCACTGCCTGTCACCATGGGGTGCCAGCAGGAAAGCGTACCCCTGGCATGAAGAAACTGCCCCAGCTGGATCTCAGTGTCTTGTCCCAGCAGGGATCCCAGCACCCTCTTTAGGTATCCCTGCATCTTGTTCCACCTGGGATCCCAGTATCCTGTCCCTGTCCCAGCAGGGATCCCAGTGTCCTGTCCCACTTGGATCCCAGCATCCTGTCTCTGTCCCACTGGGGATTCCATCATCCCATCCCTGCCCCACCAGGGATCCCAGTGTCTTGTCCCTGGCCTATCAGGGAACGCGGTGCCCTCTCCCACCAGGGATCTCCATGTCCTGTCCCTGTCCCACCATGGATCCCAGCGTCCTGTCCCTGTCCAACCAGGAATCCCAGCGTCCTGTCCCAGTCCCACTAGGAATCCCAGCATCCAAGCATCCTCACCAGCCAAGTTCTGGGAGCAGAGAACTGATGTGGGGGATTCCCCTTCCCCCTGGCAGGCCAGTGCGGGGAGTGACACCGGGTGGTGACCGCGGGACACTTCTGCCATTAAAGTGACACAACACTTGTCAGCTGTCAGCGTAACACGGTTCCTTCGGCAGAAGCAGCCCTGGCACGGCCTGGGCATCGGGACACAGGGTGGGAGACAGGAACATGGGGTGGGTGATAGGAACATGAGATGGGTGTTGGGAATATGGGGCAGGCACTGGGGGCACAGGGTGGGCACTGGGGACACGGGGGGTGCTCCAGAGACACGGGGACATTTGGGACACAGGGTGGGAGAAAAGGACATGGGATGGGAGACAAGGACACAGCGTGGGAGACAAGGACACGGGGGGAGATGGGGAAATGGGGTCCCACCATGGATCTGGGATGGATGGGTGGCCTCTGAAAAGGGGTTACCTGCTGATTTTGGGCTGGTGTGAGTGTGAATGTGTGTGGAGGTGTGTACAGGTGTGTGCTGCACATATATAAACATGTACACATGTGTGTATGTGTTATACATGTGTGCACATGTGTGTGCTGCACCTGTACTGCCTATGTTTACATGCCTGCATTTTATATATTTTCTATTTGTAAATATATTATAGTTAAGTTTATAAATATATATATTATACTTGTAACTATACCTCTATGTAGTTACTTTTAAACTCTTT